TGCATATCACATTACATTATTATTGTAAATACGATTTAAAGTGTTTGAGAGTTGGCTCACCAATTAAGAGTGAATATTGCTTTTGCAACTCAGTTGATTCTTAGTACACACACAGAGTGGCTCACAAATATTTCTAACTGCCACTCCAGGCAGAGCCAATGTCTTCTTCTGGCCTCATCAGACAGTTACATCCATGTGTATATACTCCCACACATAGAGAAGAATACCTGTGATTAAAATGAAAACTAAATATTCAAATTGAATTTATTCACATAATTTTTATTAGGCTGCCAATTTTTATTAATTTCAAAAATCTAACCAGGCTACAGAACATATTTTCACATGGATCAGTAATAAACTATTGAATGATAATGGCATGAAAGTTTTAGTAATTTCCCTTTTTTCTTATAAGTATTTGGAATTAATGGAATATATACTTAGAAAACTGATTTTCTCAAAACCAAAATATCAAAGAGAAACTTTTGAGCCCACTTCTGATGAGCTTCTAGAAGGAACCTCAAACACTATTAAATCAGATCCAAGATAATGAAATCTGGTTACCAAAGAAGTAGAAGAAAATGACAGATCATGACTAAGTTCAGAATTTCAATAAGGTATAAACAAAAATACTATGAAACATTTGTTTGAAGTAATTACTTAATATAAATTTTAATGGAGTTCCATTGAAGTGTGTGTACTCAGAATCTTGAATATTCATTGAAGTCTCAAGTTCTTTCATAAGCATTGAAAATTTGAATGACAATTTTTTTTCTTTATGGATGCTGTTTTTGTTCTAATAATTAGTCCTATTTTTCTGAGCTAAATTAATTCTTTAAATTTCACTTTAAATATAAGTTTTCACATTATCATTTACCTTTCTTCATGATTCTATCTGCATAATTCTCTTTCATGTACTTTCTAAAGAAATGTCAATAAAATGATTTGTGTTTGATTATCTGACTTTATATATGTGGTTCTCTACATGGTTGGAAAACAATTCTTTCATTGTAAAAGTAAAGTGAGTTCTTTTAGAATAGAAATTACATTTCTTGTTATAAAGTTGTATTCTTTTTTAGACTATTGGATTTTCTGATGTAAGACCCTTCAATACAACAACTCAAGTAAAGTATAATGATGAAGAATTTTCACAACAGAAACATTTTTCTTTTATGTCTAATGCTGGCTTTGAATTCTTTTCTTCTGTGCTGGAGCCATGGTTATTTACAAAGAGGAGGAAAATAACATAAAGGAAATGTGCCCCTGAATCACTCAATCTGGTCAGAACATGACACAGTAACTCATCTAGAATTAAGATGGGTCAAATTTATATTACTATAGACAGAAAACTTGGGAAAACATGCAGACATGACACCTTAATTTTTACCCTATCAATGACCTACAATATTCCATGACCTCTAATATTCTAACAGTTCAAATTATCTGAGAAACACTGAGGTATATGGTTTTAAAACTTTTAATTATTTTTTTGTTGTCTGTGAATTCTATAATATCACTCAAAGTGTCTTTAGTGCAAAACAGCAAAACAGCACTCTGTAATTCCAACTGTGTACTACCAGTTTCCCTACCAATTTCCTGTGCTCTTCTTTCTTAAACCCACTGAGTCTGTTTAGTGCTGCATGGTATTTGCATGGGTCAAGGACCAAGCACTGGAGCTTGGGTAGCAGTTAAAGTGCTGCATCCCTGAAAATGCATCTCCTCTCTTGGAGAACTTGGTTTTGTGTGCCAGTGTCTTTTTCAGGATGTAATGAATTCTGGCACCCTAAATGTGGAAAACAACACCATCACTTTTGTTTTTATCCAGAGGAAATCTTATTTTCTAGAAATCTTTATTTTTCTTTAAATTTTCTTACTTCATTTTTTATATAAGGACAGGGATCTGTTTTTACTCCCTAAATGTATTTTTATGTATTGTTTGAAAATTCAACAGTTATATGTAGTCTGTTTTGATTGCATCCACTCTACTTCTATTCCTTTAATTCCTCAACACTTCTTTCCAACTACACAAACCATATTTGTTTTATTTGTTTATTTATCTACTTGTTTATTTATTTAAACCCACTGAGTCCATTCATTTCTGCCATTATGCAAAGAAATGTGTGGGGACATCGCTGGAGCATAGGCAACCTACTAGAGAGATCACAAACTTGAAGAAAACTGACTCTCTTTTAGTAGCCATCAACTGCTAATAGCTTTTACTCCCTGCTTTCCCTCCTCTACCCCAGCCCATTTGATCCTCACATTCCCATAACTCCATGTGTTCCACCTGGTCCCATCGTGTGTAAATGGCAAGATGACTACATAAGTCTTAGTCACTGTTCATTTTCTGTCTAGAGACACCATAAGCATGGCAAATCTTTTAAAATAAAGCATATAATTGGGACTTTCTTTTACTTTCAGGAGTGTGGTCCATTTTTATCATGGCATGGAGCATGGTAGCATTCATGGTACTGGAGTTTTAGCTGATAGCTACTTACTGATCTGCAAGCAGAGAGATAGAAAGAGATAGAGATAGACAGACAGATGGATCTGGTCCTAGCACAGGCTTTTGAAACCTTAACATCCATCCATAATAATGTGCTTTCCCCAAAACAAAGGCATCTGCCTCTGGTGACTAAGCATTCAAATATATAAGCTGTGGGAGCTATTTTTATTCAGACCTACACATATAATAATGTCACTGGTTATCAACTCCCCTAATTAAAATTTTCTTTGTGTGTGAGTATCATGCTAACAGAAGCAACATGCTATTATTGAGTGTAGTCATTCCTCTGTATGGTATGATTTTATTTTAATATGATTATTATTGGGAAATATTTATGTATAATTGCAAATAGATGTAAATTAATTAGTGTATATGTAAAAGTTAGTAAATGAAATCTGCACATCAGACAGAACAAATCTGTACATAGCAGAGACCAAGGAAGGGGTTTGGTAAGTTGGATAGTAAATGTAATTGGCCTCTATTGTGTAGTCTGTGTTCATTTTTCTGTACTCTGCCCAGGTGGTAAACCTGGCAGCTCTCTTCCAGAGTGTACTCTTACATATTAAAACACATCAATTATTGTCCTTTATAATGCCCTTAAGGACTTCTTGGCTGAGAAAACTTGTTAAAATAATGAGGGACTTTTTATTCCAGGAGAAGCTAAATCGTTAATGGTACTTATGTTACCTTCTACTCAGGCTATTAAAAAAAATATTGTTTTCAGCTCAATAACACAGGCCAGGTTGTGGCTACTCCTCACTCAGACTCCATTTGCACTCTATCAGCCAAGCAAGCAGTTTCCCTTGTCAAATCTTTCAGGTGAAACCTCTTTAACTAAATTGAGCACAGAAAGGGGAGATAAAGAAAAGGAAATATGGAAGGTGGGCTCAGCCTCCGTGCTTCCTCCCTTGTCCTTTCAATTTCTCTCCCTTCCTTTCTTATTTCATGTTTTCTTGATTTCTTTCCTTTCTTACATACAGATCCTCTATACTATTGAAAATAGGAACAACAGACGCACACAAAAGACTCATCAATATAGACTGTCTGAGTACTTCTAATTCAGTAGAAAAAAAATCTGCGAGTTTTTTTGTTTGTTTGTTTTTGTTTTTTCAAGACAGGGTTTCTCTGTGTAGCTTTGGAGCCTATCCTGGCACTCGCTCTGGAGACCAGAGCTGGTCTCGAACTCACAGAGCTCTGCCTGCCTCTGCCTCCCGAGTGCTGGTGTTAAAGGTGTGTGCCACCAACGCCCGGCATAAAATCTGCATATTTTTTAATACTATGGACAAGCAGTTTAAAAGCCTGATGTCAGAGGAAGTGACACTCCTCCTTGTGTTTACTATCACTGTTATCATTTGGAGCATTTGAACCTGCCATAACCAATCAGAAATTACAAAATAGAATGAGTAAGCTGTACGTGGAATTCAGAGTTAGGTGGCAAGAACAAAATTCGAACATCTTCAAATAGTTGGACAAAACCAAGCAATAAGCCATGTTAGGGTATCCACACAGTGCTCAGAGCCTGTGAGAGTGCCTGATTTCAGCCTGGGTAGCCTTCTGTGTTCAACCCAGTTTTCCAAGAATCCCCTCTCCTTAGTAGAAAGCAGAAAGGGAAGATTTCAGTGTGCACACTTTGGGAAGAAGGACTAGGAGATCCAGAAAACCCATCAATCAAAGTTTAAATGGAGAGCCAAGGATATACACAACTAGGCAATCCTGAAGGTGTGGCTCCTCCCACCATAACGCCTCATTTTCAGGTTTATAGTGGCCTCCTACAGAACTTTGCAAAATCTCTTTTCTGATTCAGCTCCTTCCCCTGCTTAATGTTCTCTTCCTTTACTTTCCTAGCATGAGATATTTGAAAAAAACAAAAAACAAAAAACAAAAAACAAAAAAAATGAAACTATTTCTTTGGAGTTCCTTATTTTAACAGTCTGATAGTCAGATTGACAGACAAGAAAGTCTCTTTAGAATGTCTTCATTTTTCCAGGCCATTTATAAATCTTTAACTTTCAGTTTCATCAACTCAATCTTGAGGTGCAGTATGTCTGTGTCTGAAACAAACATTCAACAGAACTCAAAATGGGTCGAAGGTTAGAGCACATTATTTAGTATCCGGTAGCCTCACATGAGAACCGACTTCTTGGCCTTTTGTTACTTTTGGATGGGCTGCCACAAAAAAAAAAAAAAAATCTATCTTGTTTTGATATAGAGTCTCACCATGAATCCTAGACTGGATTTAAATTTACAAACTTCTTCATTCAGCTTCCTAAGTGTTAGGTGTACATACCAGTACTAGTTCGGCCAGTGTGACTTTATTTCAGTTCAGACAACTCTCTGATCAAATATTTTTTGAAGACATTGCTGTTTAGCCATATGGTTGTTTGCCCTCCATAACTCCACAGTTCTGGGATAGATTCATGGTTGTTGTTATCATTTGATCCTACATTGCAGGGATAAATGGCAGATGTCAAGAAGTTAGTGCTAACCAACCACTTAGGCGGGGTCTATCAACAGGTGTAAAAAGGTTGGCTCTTAGGTCAAGTATCCTTGAAGCCCATTTCATTTATCTTGCGGAAAATATCCTAGCATCTCAAAAAATATTGCTTAAGTTTCTTTGACAAGAGTTGTATTTCTGTAGAATTTTAGTAGATCATTTAGTTGTGAGTCTTTACAAAAATGCAATTATGTAATACATTGCAGTTAGCTGTAAGCCTTTACAAAAAGATGACCAACACAAAGAAAACTACTGAAATCTAACCAAACATGTACAGATACACAAATACTCAACACCTTGGAGACTTAAATAATTTAAGAAGAATCTATGCATAGAGCCAATTACCATCACAACACAATACAACTGTATAGAAGTCACTTATAAAACAAAAATAAAGTTCTTTGGTTTATATGAATAAATTGGAATAACAGTCATGTATTCCTTGTTACTGTCTCTGCATATATTGACATAAGAGAGAATGGAAGACATTATCAGTGTGTGATTTGGTGTCACATTTTTTCCAAATTACCTGAGTTAATTAACTTAATTCCATTTTCAGGGTTTTTATTTTTGACGATTTTTGTCAAGAAAAGTGCTTGGTGGTGATGATGGTGTTCTGAGATACCACTAGAATTTCACCAGCAAAGTTCCAGGGTGATTTGTTGTCCAATAATTAGGTACTAAACACTAGCAGATTGAATTTATATCTACAAATATTAGCAAATGCCAGTATCCCCAGTTCAAATTATTAACAATATTAATATCTCTTTTTGTCCCTGGAAATATAGTCAGAAATCCAATATTTCAGAGTACTTAAATTTATTTAAGTACTATTTCTTGGAATTTCACTCTGGTAGTAGTGACTGTCAAGTTAACCCTGGTAGCAACTGTTAAGCCTCCTAATTTACTTCTGACACTACTGCCTGGAGAAAAAAAAACTCATTCTCATAAGTTTCTTCACCAGCCATAAGAAGGCATTTAGAAATAAATGTTATCCTGTACACTTCAATTTTTCAAAGTCTTCAAAAGAATAGCATGTCTGTTTTGAATTGTTAATTTTTTCAACTCCTATTTCATTCTGTATATCCAATCTGTGCATAAACAAACAAATACACCCAAAACACTTTGTTCATTTTTTTTACAGCATGAAACTCACATTCTGATAATAAACATTTCCCTTTTAGATTCATTTATTTTATGTGTATGAGTATTTTACCAGCATCTGTGTTTATATGCATGATTTTCCTGAAACACCCATAGCTGGAGAGGGGAATCAGGTCTTCTGAAGTTTGAATAATGAGTGATTGTGAATGATATGTAGGTGTATGGAACAGGAACTGTGTCCTCTGCATGAAAAGCAAGTGTTCTTAATCCCAGAGAACCTCTCTCCAGTTCTCAGAAGAGTTTCGTACTTGAAAGAATTAAGGGACAGAATGGAACTTTTAATATTATTTCCTCTACTATCAACAACCAGCCTAATGATCATCATCAACAATTTACGACAGCAAGCAAATGTTTTGGGAGATGGTAATTCATGCAGTGCCTGAGCTAAGATTCTGGTCCGGAAAATTGCTTCAGAGTTATTAGTGAATAATTGAGTCTATCCCACTGAAACCAATATAGTTACCCTTAGTGAAATTTTTACAACGATACAATGTTAATTCATTATTTCCCTTCGATACCAATTTACAAAAGGAAAAATAAATTTAAGTACTCTGAATATTCTGGCTGTCACATTTTCCTGTGAAAACTCTTTAGTCCGAATGATAACTCCTGCTGAGAAATGAGGCAGATGGACAGCTGGAATTGAAAATATCCTTAAAAGAGTTGGTGTCATTACCTTTAAGTTTTAATTTTCTGCTTCATGCAGATGTGTTGGACCTTCTTTTTATCAGTCTCTGTTCCTGGGTTATCTTGGCTGTAGCATAACTGTACTGCATCTCTAGGAAACATGACATATCTGATACAGTTTGCTACAAGAAAATGTTATAGGCTTGATGGCTAATAACAAAAGAGTTTTATTTCTTTAAGTTCTGGAGGCTGCAGAGCCCAAGGTCAAGGCTTTAGCATGAGATGTGCCTGGTGAGAATATCATTTCATTTCTAGTTTCTGGCATATAGACATTTTCCTCTTGCTGCTTCCACACATGGCAAAAAGGCAAGATAATGACCTGGGTGTCTCTCGTGGAACAATAATACCATTTACCAAGGCTCCATCCTTTGTTCCTAGTTGTGTCTCAAGGTCCAACATTCCAGTATTACCTGTGCATCACATTTTGAACATGGATTTTGCCATGATGAAAGCATCCAGTGATAATGAAACTTTATAGGTTGTTTGAACTGTATTAAAAATTAATCTCAATGTTTGAAGTGAGTGTGGATTCTGCTGGGGCCCAACTCCCCCTATCCCTTCTTCGGAATTTCCTGGGTCCACTCAGCATGTAGTGGACCCGTCCCTGCAGGAAGGACCATCCAGAGTGTGGCCACACCTCATTATTGGCTGCCCTTATGCCCACTGCCCTCCACTTGAGTCTTGTACCCTCTATGCGCTCCTCTTGAATGAGAACACCAGGAGAGGCCAGACCATCCAGAGTTCCCCACCTTGAAGTCTTGGCTCACCTATACCCCTGAGAGAGGAGAGGAGAGATACCCTACTTATACCCACTCAAAGAAGGCATGGGAAGGCGAACATGCTTGACAACCGAAACACCCATACGACACCACCAGAATCTAGGGACTCTACACCAGCAAGACCTGAACATCCCAACACAGATAAAGCTGAAGAGAAAGACCAAAAAAAATCACATTTATTTAGATGATAGAAACCCTCAAAGTGAAAATGAGAAAATCCCTTAAAGAAATGGAGGAAAAGACAAACCAAAAAATCCAACAAATAAACAAATCTCTTAAAGAATGCAAAGAAAGCCAAGAAAAAACAACCAAACAAGTGACAGAAATTATTCAAACAGTTCAAGGCTTGAAAGCTGAAATAGAAAGAATAAACAAAACACAGAATGAGGGAACTCTGAAAAATAGAAAAGCTGGGCAAATGATCAGGAACTACAGATGTAAGTACAACCAATAGAATACAAGAGATGGAAGAGAGAATCTCAGGTGTTGAAGACTCACTAGAGGCAATAAAGTCATTGACTAAAGAAAATCTCAATTCCAACAAACCCCTAATCAAAAATATCCAGGAAATATGGGACACTGTGAAAAGGTCAAACCTAACAATAATAGGTATAGAAGAAGGTTAAGAAACACAGCTCAAAGGTACAAAAACATAGTCAACAAAATCATAGAAGAAAACTTCCCCAACATACAGAAGGATATTCCAATGAAAGTATAAGAAGTTTGCAGAACACCAAGTTGACTGGACCACAAAAAGAAGTACCCTCACCACATAATAATCAAAACACCAAACTTACAGAATAAAGAAAAAGCATTAAGACAAGCAAAGGAAAAAGGCCAAGTAACATATAAAGGCAAACCTATCAGAATTATACACTATGTCTCAAGGGAAACTCTAAAAGCCAGAAGGTCCTGGATAGATGTTCTACAAATTCTAAGGGAACATGGATGCCAGACAGACTACTATAACCAGCAAAGCTTTCAATCGCTATAGATGGAGAAAACAATATATTCCATGACAAAACCAGATTTAAACAACACATATCCACAAATCCAGCCCTATAGAAATTAATGGAAGAAAAACTCCAACCCAAAGAAGATAATTACACTGACAAAAGCATAGAGAATAGATACTCCCACTTTACCAAACACCAAAAGAGAAAAGGGGGAAATCCACACACAATACCACCACCACCAACAAATCCAAATCAAAGAAGAATTAATAATCAATGGTCTTTAACATCTCTCAATGTCAACAGGCTTAAGTTACCTATAAAAAGACACAGACTAACAGAATGGATAAAAAAGACAGAATCCTTCCTTCTGCTACATACAAGAAACATATCTCAAAATCAAAGACAGACATTACCTCAGAGTAAAGGGTTGGGAAAATATTTTCCAATCAAATGGATCCAAGAAACAAGCTGGAAGTAGCAATCGTAATATCTAACAAATTAGATTTCAAACTAAAATCAATAAAAAGATATGAAGAAGGTTATTTCATATTCTTCACAGGAAAAGTCCATCAAGATGAAGTCTCAATTATGAACATCTCTGGACCAAATATAAAGGTATCCACATTCATAAAAGAAACATTATTAAAACTCATATCACACAAAAAACTTCACACACTTATAGTGGGAGACTTCAACACCTCATTCTCACCACTAGACAGGACAACCAGACAGAAACCTAACAAAGAAACAAAGGATCTAACAGAAGTTATGACCCAATTGGTTTCAACAGACATCTATGGAACATTCGATCCAAACATAAAGGAATATGCCTTCTTCTCAGTGACATGTGGTGGAACATTCTCTAAAATTGACCACATACTCAGTAACGTAGCAAACCTCAACAGATACAAAAAAGTTGGAATAACCCACTGTACCCTATGCGATCACCATGGTTTAAAGTTAGAATTCGACAACAACACAAATTGCAGAAAACGTACAAACTCATGGAAATCGAACAATGCACAATCGCACCATTTCTGGGTTAAGGGAGAAATAAAAAAGAAATTAAAAACTTGCTAGAATTCAATGAGAATGAAGTCACAGCTACCCAAACTTATGGGGCACTTTGAAAGCATTGCTAAGAGGAAAGTTCATAGCATTAAGTGCTCACTTGAAGAAACTAGAGAATATTTATTATAGAGACTTCACAGCACAACTGAAAGCTCCAGAACAAAAAGAATCAAACTTACCACAGAGGAGTAGATGCCAGGAAATAATCAAACTGAGGGCTGAATTCAATAAAGAGGAAACAAAGAAAACAATACAAAGAATTCACGTAAGAAAGAGTTGGGTCATGGAGAAAAGCAACAAGATAGAAAAACATTTATCCAAACTAACCAAATGGCAGAGAGAGCATGCTAATTAACAAAATAAGAAATGAAAAGGGGAACATAACAACAGACATTGAGGAAATCCAGAGAATCATCAAGTCATACTTTGAAAACCTACACTTCACAAAATTAAAAAAACCTAAAAGAAATGGACAATTTTCTCGAGAGATATCATTTAGAAAAATTAAATCAAGGACAGATAAGCAATTTAAAAAGACATATAACCACTAAAGAAAGAGAAGCAGTCATCAAAAGTCTCCCAACAAGAAAAGCAACAAGCCAGTTGGTTTTAGTGCAGAATTCCACTGGAGCAGAAGCAGAAGGGACATTGCCAAACTCTTTTTAAGAGGCTACAATCACCTTTGTACATAAGCCACACAAAGACACAACTAAGAAATAGGACTAAAGACTAATATCATTCATGAACATAGATGCAAAATATTGCCAATTCAATTTGCCAATAAAATATTGGCAAATTGAATCCAAGAACATATCAGAAAAATCACCCAGAAAGATCAAGTAGGCTCCATCACAGTGATAAAGTGGGGAAATTACCAATATGGAGTCAGGTAGAAATGCAAAGGTATTTAATGGGGAAAAGCGTTACTTACAGAGCGACCTAGCCAGCTGGTGTGGCAGCAGTCTGTACAGCAAGCTGAAAAGTGAAACTGAAAGTGAAACACAGCAACCTGAACCTCTCATTCTACATCACCCTGACCATGCCCTCGCAGGCATGGTCAGGCATACCTTTAGCCAGCCCCAAAGCAGGCATGGCTACAGGTTCCCCTACAATTCCCCTTTTATTCTAAAAGAGGATTAAAACTTAACAGTGTAAAGTATCCAAAATTACCAATCATAAAGGAAATATATAAGAAGATACAACAATCTGCTAATGTCACATCATAACTATCTATTTTAACTAAACCCTAAAGTCATCTGAAAGAGGTATCCAAGCCTGAACACCTCCTTACAATCCCAACCATAAACAATAGGAAGCTATCCCTAACTAGGTATATACACTATCCTAAGTGACAGCTATGGGGGAAAGGGACATAGCATTTTCCAAGTTACTTCCTGCTGAAATGGGACGACGACATCCTTGTGGGGTCCTATAGGAAGAAAATGTTAGTATAGTGAAAGCCTTGAATGGATTGTATCCAGTCCATGTTAGATTTAAGATCTTGTTTGAAATCCTCAACTTGATTGAGGTCAGTACCCGAAGCTCTGGCGGGAGTGTCAGTTGAAATGGAACAAGTTGGATCCAGTGCAGTCAAGGAGGTGTGGCCCATTTTCTTTACATGGTGTCCAGGAATTGCTGTCAGACAGGTCTTCATTGGCTCTGTGGAACTCACACATAAACAGTTAGCAGAGAAATGTTTGTTTGTGTCTGTACACATGCTGCGAAAGGTAACCATGGAGAATAATGATTATGACAGGTGTACACCTTCAAAGAAAGAGCCAAGAAAAGACAAAGACAGTCCCCAAATTCTTCTCTTATTCTGTATTACATCAATTGGCTTCTTGATACAATACAGAAACTCTAAAGTTTAGTTAAACAGTGTGCTTGGATTTTAGAAGAGGAAAGCCAAATCCAATTCTAAATCCAGCATTGGTTTAATTGAATAGGGACTAGGAAATAAAAAGAAATAGAGTTCTCTGAGAGACTGCTGTAAAGTTTACCATATGACACATTCCTTTTGTTTGATGGTTATAGCTACCTTTGCTTAAGCATCTACCCATGCGGTGTCCTTTGCCTCCTGGAGATGAGTTTTCCTGTGAAGATAAAAGCAAAACACTTCCTTTTCCTTTGGGAGGTTTCTATTTAGTTTATAAGATATACCTTAGTAGAATACCTGTCATTTCTCCTTGTTGAGAGGTGTTTACTTTTCAAAGGGAATCTTGATCAACTTTGATGGTATCCAAAGTTTTTCTTCTCATCTGGAAACCAATGCAAAACACCTACTCCAAAGTAACACATGTCCTGGTTTCCATACAGAGGTTAGTACATCTTTGAAGTATACTGGCTGATTCAGTTCAGCAATTTTTTCCGTGGTCCAGGTCCAGTTTCTTTCCCCAGCTGTTTGTCCTGATTCATTGGCATTAAGAAAGTTTAGTGTTAATAAAGCATTATGCAACCTATGTTTGGGGGGTTTACTCTTCCAAGCTTGTTTGTTGAGCATCTTCTTATGTGTTCTATTAGATCTCTAAACAACTGCTTGTCCTGTAGGATTGTGTGGTATACTGGTAACATGCTCTATGTTACAATATTTGAAAAACTGTTCCAATTTTGTGGAGAAATATGCTGGAGCATTGTCAGATTTATTTGTGCAGGTATACCCATAAATGCCATCACATCTAGCAGGTGTGTAATAACAGAAAAAGCTTTTTCAGAGTTTAGAGCAGTAGCCCATTGGAACCCTGAGAATGTGTCTATAGCATGACGCACATATTTCAAATTTCCAATCTCTGCAAAGTGAAAGACATCCATCTGCCAAACCTCATTTCTCTGAATGCCCTTAGGATTACAACCTGCTGGCAATGGAGTTTGATTACAAAAGGAACAAGTAGGACAGTTTCTCACTATCTCCTTGGCTTGTTGCCAAGTGATGGAGAAGTCCTTTTTCAAACCTTTGCTATTTACATGATGTTTCTTATGAAATTCTGAGGCTTCTAGCACACTTCCAATTAATAAACGATCATCTCATCATTGCCTTGTGCTAGTGGGCCTGGCAGACCCGTATGGGATCTGATATGTGTAATGTATATAGGATTGCTTCTGTTTCTGATAGTTTCCTGTAATTGTAAAAACAGAGAAGTTAATTCTGTATTATCGGGAACGAATTCTGCAGTCTCAACGTGTAAGATGACTCTCTCTGCATATTGGGAATCAGTAACTATATTAAGAGGTTCTATAAAATCCATAAGCACTATGAGAATTGTATATAACTCTGCCTTCTGTACAGATGTATATGGACTTTGAACTATTTCACTTACCTCTCCTGGTTTATAACCTGCCTTACCTGATATGTTGGCATCAATGTATAAGGTAAGAATGCCAGAAATGGGAGTTTGTCTTACAATACATGGAAGAATCCAGACTGTCTTTTTTTATGAACTAAATTCTGTCAGTTTTGGAATAGTTGTTGCTAATTATTCCCAAAAAGTCAGTAAGAGCTATTTGCCAATATTCATTATCCTTCCACAAGGAGGAAATTTCCTCATTAGTTAAAGGTACTATAATTTTAGCTGGATCTTTTCCAGTCAATTGACAGAGTCTTAATTTGCCCTTTAGTATCAAATCAGAAATCTTTTCTATATAGGTCTTTAACTTTTTATTCTGTTTATGTGGCAGAAATATCCATTCCAATATAATGTCTTCCCTTTGCATCAGAATCCCAGAAGGGTATTCTCTGGATGGCAAGATAACCAGAATACTGTCTAAATCAAGGATTATCTGTTCTACATGTGCATCCAATATTCTGTTTTTTACCAATTTTAACTCTTTTTCTGCTCAGTAGATAATATTCTCAGACTGTTTAGTTCCTTATCACCTTTAAGGGCCATTTTTAAATGCTTTAAGTCATGTCCTACTACACCAATAGTCGCCTGTAATTGAGAAATTTCCCATAATAATTTCTGAAGAGAATTAAGAGTTTGATAATGATTCCTTCTAATTTGTACCTTTTGAGGTCTTATTCTTTGTAAGTCTATTTTGTAACCTAAATAGTTAATAGAATATCCTCTTTGTATCTTTTCTGGGGCAATCTGTAACCCCCAATGAGGCAGAACTTCCTTCACCATTTCAAACATATGTTCCAATGTTTCCTTATAAGAATCTGATAAAAGAATGCCATCCATGTAATGATAAACAAGAGATTGTGAAAATTTCTTACGAATTATTTCCAAAGGTTGCTGTACAAAGTGCTGACATCAAGTAAGACTATTTAGCATTCCTTGTGGCAAAACTCTCCCACTGATATCTCCTAACTGGCTTTGACTTATGAAGAGGTGGCACAGTAAATGCAAATTTTTCTCTATCATTTTCCTGGAACGGTATTGTGAAAAAAACAGTCTTTTAGATTAATGTCTATGATAGGCTATCATTTAGCTATTAAGGAAGGCAATGACATTCCAGATTGCAGAGAGCCCATTGGTTGAATTACCTTATTTATGGCTCTCAGGTCTGTCAGCATTCTCCACTTTCCTGACTTCTTTTTGATAACAAACACCGGAAAATTCCAAGGACTGGTAGATTCCTCTATTTGTCCAGCATCTAGCTGTTCCTGTACTAACTTTTCTAAAGCCTCTAGCTTTTCAGAGGTCATAGGCCATTGTTATGCCCAAACAGGTTCATCTGTAAGCCATTTCAATAGCAGGGCCTTCGGCTCTTCTTAAGGTCCATCATTTGTATCTAGTTTCTGTACGGCATTGATGGTAAACGTTTTCCGTAGCATCTTACCAGATCTTTTCTACTATCTAAAGATTGTACATAATTTTTATCTGACATTGGAGGAATATTAATCTGAGTATTCCATTGCTGTATGAGATCATGACCCCAGAGATGTATAGCTATATCTGCAATATATGGTATCAGTATCCCTTTCTGTCCTTCTGGTCCAATGCAGACCACTGAGTTAACACTCTGTCGAGCTGTAGATAGAGTACCAATTCCTAAAAATTGTACATTTGCCTCTCTAAGAGGTCACTTCTGAGACCAAGTCTTTTGGGTAGTAATGGTTACATCTGCCCCAGTGTCTACTAAGCCAGTAATAACTTTATTTTCACTTTCAACTAAGGCCTTTTATCATTAATAGAAGCTTGCCAAAATATGCGTTTCACATTTTGTCCATTCACATTTGATTCTTTATCACCATTCAAACTACCATCTAGCAAAGTATTATTTTTCACAATAGGCAAAGAACTATCTGTCCTGTGAGAGGTTGTCTCCCACTGCTACTGGGAGTAACCAGACCTTTCTCAAAGTGGGGGCCTTCTTGAGTCCCCCCCTCAGGGATTCCCGGCCTTATCGGGTTTCATTGCATGTCCCTGGTCAATCTACATTCATTGGTCCAGTGTCTGCCATTACCACATCTTCTACACAATCCAGAAGGTAGTGGCCTTCCGTAAGGGGCATTGTTAGAATTCTTTTGTCTACAATTTCTCTTAGTATGTCCCATTCTACCACAGCTGAAACATCTAGGTTCCTGGCACCTTCGTGGTCTCCTGGGGAAGACTCTTCTGACCCAAGGTTCTGGTTCATAGTAATAGTAACCTCTAGCCTCTTGGTACCTATTTTGACCTCTGTACGGTTCTTCCCCTTCCCAAGCCCTTGAATCCTCACCTCTAGAACTTTTAATTTCCTGTTCCATTTTTAAAACTTTCGAAATGGCTTCTCCTACCCAAGCTCCTGTGTCTTGCACATGATAGTCAATGTTGGCTGCATACAAACCCATTCTTCTAGCGAAGCTGATCTGATCTTTAACGGCAAAAGTATTCTTTTGGATATTGGGTTTGCATTCTCATAAGCGCTTGTATATATAATTGATTGTCTTGTTTCTGGATCTGTTACCTGTAATTCTACTGCCCTAGTTAACCTTTGTAAAATGTCTTAGAATTGTTCTGTAGGTCCCTGTTCTATTCTGGTATACGCTTCTAG